TATATATATATATATAAGATGTTACTTTCAAAGAAATTTCGGACTCCCTCATGGGCGAATCATTTAAGTCTTCCTAAGCTGGGGAATTAGAGGGGATCAGAGATAGATGCTTCGGCCGAACTTTCCTTATGGATTTGTATCAAATCTAGTTTTGAATATTGTTTCCCAAATTCGTCTAAGTCAATTCCCGGGTCTGTGCGTGAAGTGAAACAGCCTCATGATTACGTGTTGCAATAAAAACCCCTGGAAAGACAGACTTATCGTGGATATCCCAATGTGCCGATACGACAGAACGCTTGTAGAACAAACACAAGTTAGAGCAGTTGACAATCATGCACTTTTGAGTGTTTTCTCTGCAGGCTCAACGTAAAACGCCAAGCCCCATCTAAGTAATAATCACACTAGCGGCACTTTGAGGCTATATTCTCCTCTTAGGTGGCTCGTTGCTTAAATCGCTAAGACCTTTACATATCAGACGGCGCACTTCTCCTGGGTAGACGATCCGATGTAAGATGTAAGATTGGGACTGCCATTAATAACTGATGCTTACTGAAAATGAATCCCCACTGAACAGTACAACAATGTAAATGGTTTCTACAACTTAACACTCCACATCGAACTCTGTAGCGTCCAAAGTATGTATTCTGACGTAGTAAAAATCCGAACTAAGGGAGAAACATCAAAAGAAGCGAGTAAACGCAGCGAGTGTACGCAGTGGCAACCCAGGCTGAATAAGAACATGCTACAATACCGTAAATCGCGACACGTTACAGTGATTTGGCTCAGTGGTTAGTGTGACCGGAATGTCCGTGGTTCGAACCCCACCTCTGCCTCCTGACTTCACCTGTCTAGGCTTGGGCAACCTGACAGTACCCTAGCGCTCGTGCTTTCTTCTGGTGACATGGTAGTTAGGCACCGAAATGGTGTTACAGCTGAACAATTTTTTACACTAGATATCTGTGTTCTTTGGAATAATCAACTGCTCAATATTTGGGACGAGAAAGTGTAAAAACTACGAACAACACGTGTGTCACGTTGAAAAGTCAATTTTATCTACACCGGAAGCAGACCTTATCGAAGTCTAGAGTGCTCCGACTGAAAGTCCATGTTTTCTAATTTTCAGGCAGCGAAATTGAGAACTCTATGTCTAGAATGATACATTTTTTCGCTATCGCACAAAGACGGATGTTGGGCCTAGAAAAAATCGAATTGTCACGTTGTTGACAAAAGATGTCTACCATTTTCAGAACAGGTCTGGGTCTTCGTGTTTCTGCCCTCGTGGTATGAACGCACAATTCAATCTGAGCACTTGCTCAGGGCACGTGTTTTATGTTCTCATGGCAACATATTCAGACCAAACGCATTATTTATCCAAAACTGGTACTGTCTATTATTTTACTACTACAAGCGGGTGTTAATTAATTAAGTAGGGTTAATAAGATTTTCAATACCCATTCACCTTGTACCTTAATCACTTTAGAGACAACCCAGACAGTTGTCATCAGTAAAGCACTAAAAGTGTTAGCTGGCTGGTAAATGTCAGTGAACACGAGTATATATATATATATATATATATATATATATATATAGTGTTATGAGGCGCCTGAATGCGTCCAATTCTCGAAGACGACCCTGGAACTAATGGATGCATCTCGCACTGATCATCACTCCCGTGAGATTAAGACCTACTTGAAATCAACGATAACGACGCAATTCACACTTAGATATCGTTTCCCTAACAAACAATCGCGATTCTAGAGCTAGTTGAATGGAACTAATCAAGTTAGGAGCTTTGCATAAGGGGCTACTTTTCATGCCCCTAGCATGAGTCATGGCATGCGCTGAGGATGTCTTCCGGTTTAAAATGAGGGCGTCCTTTGGTCAACAGCACACACTACAGACTGTGTGCGACAGTGTATCGCTCTGTAGAAAATATCGTAGTAACGTCCTCTGCGATGCATGATCACGTTTCTTCAAGAGATATCATAGGGTAAGCTGGTATCATACAGAGGCGTTTGAGTGTACTTTGCAGCGGATATGAGGAGCCGAAAAAACGAGCTAGTTTGTAGCTGTAATCTTTGTATGTGAACGAAGATAGAACAATGAGACTGCGCCTCGTCGAAAAGTGGACGATACGGTGAAGGAGGGTGGGTAGTCAACATAAACGAGCGTTTCTCGATATGGTTGATTTTAATACCTATCTTTATGAGTTAGTGGTTGCACTTTGATAATGCCTCACCTAAGCGTTTCCTCACTGTTTCGCAATCATTTTATTAACTTTCTAAGTACCCCATCGAGTTGGATGCTGACGAGCAAATAGATTACATAGTCAATATAGGCAGTTATAAAGCGT